AATCATTTAAAGACCTCAATGGCAAGGCAAAGGTGAGAGAAATATCAAGTCCAATTGTCTACTGATTATCTGGAAAGTCTCCTTCTAGTGCTAACCTTGGAAGATCTGGGTTACATTTTTGTAAAGAAAAACAGAATCCTAACACATATGATTCAATTCTGTCATCAGAGCCTTCCTAGCACATGGTGCTCACTAAGAATTTGTACAATGAATAAATGAGCCAGTATGTATTTATAAAGTTTTTTCTTTTTCCCTTCCACTGTATTTCATAGCCAGCATGCAAGCTACAGTACAAGTAACTTTTATTTTTGTTCAACCCAACACCCACTGAGCAACTTCTATGAGCTAGGTACTCTATGATCTAGCTGCTCTAGAGGATGCCAAAATGAATAAGATATAGTACCTTGCTTTGAGAAGGTAAAAATTTCCTGGCAGAGAGACACGGACATAATTCTCTTTAACATGTAACCTCAGGGATAGATGAAGTTTCTTAGCTTATTACCTTTCTCTCTTTTTATAAGCATTTTTCAATTTCCTTACCCTTTAAGAACACTTGAGTTTTGTGTCTTATCTTCCTTGTCTGATTCACTCCCTCGACACTATTCTTATAGTCTTTCATATCAACTATTCTTATTACTCTAGTAGCTCTTTCCTGTCTCTTTTAAATAAGCTTTCAGTATATCCTTCTTGACTAGAGAAAAGACTTCCCTGGAGGCTTTTCTTTATTTTTTTTAATTTTCTTTCAAGTTTTTCTGTATTTCAAGTTGACTGTTCACAGCTTTGGTAAAATAACCCTAATTTAATTTTCCTCCACAAGATATTTATGCTGTGCACTGTGTGTGTTTGTGTGTTGCTGAGGATTGAACCCAGGACCTCATACATGGACTTTACTACTGAACTACATGTCTAGCTCTCCCACTAGAAGTTATTTAGTAAATGCTTTATAAGTAAAGTTGAAAATTTGTGCCTAATGTGTTGGATTTCTTCTCTTTAACACATATTACAGAAGCTGGTTAAAAGTTCTTTTTTTGGGAAGGGCAGTACTGCAGTGTGAAGTCAGGATCTTGCACTTGCTAGGCAGGCGCTCTACTACTTGAGTCAAGTCCCAGCAAAGCTGGTTAAAATTCTTAAGAATGTTAGTCTGGTGGAATGGCTCAAGTGGTAGAACACCTGCCTCGAAAATATGAGACCCTGATTTCAAACTCGGTACTGAAAAGAAAAATTCCATAAGTCAGTATATGCACACTGACTTATAGAAAATACATTTAGTAAATTCTTATTAAAACCAAATGACTAAACAGGTACCTGAAATCTGATTTGTATAAGAAAGACCCAATGAAATGAATTAAGGCAAAAAGTATGAAGCCATTCTGAACCTCTCCAGATATGATGGAATAAAAATGAATGTAATACTACTTCGTGTTTTTTACTAAAATTTTATTACTTTGTTTCTGATTTTGTACAATATTTCATAAAACTTTTTATGTATGATCATCTTATTTATATAATCAGCTCTTCATAACAATATTACTATAAAACATCAGAGTCTTAACCATCATTTTTAGAAGATAACTTAGAGTGGCTGGGAGTGGAGCTCAGAGGTACAGCATGTACTTAACAGGTGTGAGACCCTGGGCTCAATCCACAGCCCCAAAAGAAAAAAATAGAGATACTAACTGAGTTCTCCAGATTGATAAGATCTGTTTGCAGGTGGCAGATGTAGGCCTCAAATCTAAGCATTTTTACCTTCAGGATATGAGCCTTCTGCTTCTGCTATGCTACCTCACAGGTCATTTATATTTACATTTAAATATGGTTTTACTTATTTAAAATCTCTGAACCACAATTTCATTGTAGAATTACTTTTCAGTAACCTTTGTATATAAAATTAGTATAGTTTGTTTGTATCGTTAACCACTAGGACTAAACTTTTTACCATGCAGAATCCAAACTTTAGCAACTACTATTGCAGATGGTGCTGCTTAATGCACAGGACCTGGGGTAACCTCAAAAGTGGTGTCTAGATCCAAACAATTGTGTTGGATCCAAAGACAGTTCTCTAATGAGCTCTATTTCAAAGACTGAATTAGTGAGTTTTACCAAATTGTCTATGTCAATGATTTGACACCAAATATAAAAATCTCTCTCTCTCTCAAGCACTCTAACAGACTACATCCCTAGTCCTTTTACGTTAAACTTTTTAGGCAAGGTTTCACAAAGTTGCCTAGGCTAGCCCTGAATGTGGGATCCTGCTGCCTCAACCTCCCAAGTAGTTGGGGTAACAGGCATGTAGTAGTACCACCCTGGCAGACTGGCTCTTCATGCACATCATTCCTTCTCTCCTTTTTCTTTCTTCTTTCCCTCTCTCCTCTCTTCTCATTTTTCCCTTCCTCCCTCATTTCCTCCCTTCCTTCCTCTCTTGCTTTCTTTCCCAGTTCAAAAGTTTAATGTTGAGATACTTGTCTAACAGTCAATTTTTATATCATGGGTGTTTGTGAATTGGGTATTTCTCATTCAAGGAATATGACAATGTCAAAATCAGGTTTAAAAAATTTAGTAAGGTTACTTAGGATGTGGATTAAAATATCTAAGGGTTCATATTTCTATCATACTTTATTTCTAAGACGTTACGTTTGCAGAGTAAGATTTTGCATAAAGCAAAGAGCATTTGAACAAAGACATATCAGCATCCTTTCACAGACTAGAGTCTAATTCAACAAGCTTAATAATTGCAACAAGTACTCCTAGAGTTTTGTATTGGGTTTTGTCAGCTGTTGGAAAGTCTTGATCTTAAACCTCTTATTCTCTTATGTGAATATAGTATTGTTAACCTTGCCTTTGATGTTTTGGTACATTGCTCTATTTTTCTGTTCTCAGGAGTAATTTCTTAGAAGCCACAAAGGATCATTAAGCACCTAATCAGTTGGACATGGCAACTCATGCCTGTAATCCCAGCATTCAGGAGGTTAAATTAGGAAGATCAAGAGCTTGAGGCCATCCTGGGCTGCATAGTGAGTCTCTGCATCAATAATACAAAAAAAAGTCAAACTATATTTTATATATTCATCTTAAATGCCTTTTCTTTTTTCAAATATTATTGTATTTTCATGGGAAAATTACACTTCTTCTTAGAAATTTTTTCCCCTGCTGTAGTGTCCTAACTTGGACATAGACCCAGGTCCTAAGTTGACCCTGCTTAACCAACCAGCTGTGTAATTTTAAGAGTCTCTTTACCTCCTAATGCAATGCATTTTTTTAAAGTTTCTGAAGCAGTAAATAAGTGGGTCATTTGTTCTAGTCAATGATTGGCAGGAAAAGATGAAAGTCAGATAAGAAATGACTGTTTACTGTAGGTATGGATTAGTATCTCAGTTTATAACCAGTTTATAGTAAATGTTATGATTACTATGAATAAGGCTTCACAATCTTTAAATTCTCCAATGCCAAAAGATAATTTTCCCCCACTCTTTGCCCAGAAAGAGAGAGATAGAGAGGAGAAAAGAAGATTGAGAGATTGAAAGAGAAAGAAAATAAAGTTTAAATGTACCTGAAATGCTCCTTAACTATATTTTATTGAATTTCACATTTTAAAATTTATATAGTTTGAAGAAATAAAGGGAAAAATAAAGCTTTTAGCAATTGGTCAACGATTACTAAATTTATTCTCCTTATTACATCTCTCTATATAGGTTTTTGGTTTTGTTTATTTGTTTTAGAATTAAGCTTGTTGCTATGGGGAGGGGGAACTTGTTTATATGTTGAAATGTGTTCCCCACACACATTGCCTTTGATGTTGACATAAATTTTTATTACTAAATTTCTTTGGCTTAGGATATTTACCTCTCTTGTGCTCTGAACAGCATTTTCCTTTCCACTTATTGTTTATATGAATCTGGTGTTTACATCTGCATTTACAAACTGCTCTGAAAAATACAATTTCTTTCTTTTGTGGCAGGTAATTCTTAGAACACACTCTACCCTTAGTAGATGCCAGTTATGCCTGATACCTCTCCCAATCTAAGCTCCCAGGTGCTTGACTGACATCAATGTTAAATTACAGCTTTTGACTGATAGGCACAAAAATCACTCTTCTTTCATTGCTGTATTTAGAACATGAATGTTCTTTAAATAATTTTTGTATTTTTTTTATATTCTAAACTCTAATTATTAACTTTATCCGTCTCTATGTATTGAAGTACTTACCAGTACTATGTCTCAATATAATCACTGATAAATATTTTTCTGACTTTAATTCCAGACTAAAGCTTAAAATATATTTGAGGTATTATTACTATCCATTGACAATGTTCTTTTGATTCATAATATGAACAAATTATTCTGGATAATGTACAAATCAATCATTTTATTTACTGAAAGTAAATGTAAGTAATGAAAATTCCTACACCTTGGGCTTATGCATTCTTTTAAAATGTTAAAATCTGCTTAAAAAAATCAATTACATTCCTTTTTTCAGATAGTTAATACAAGAAATAAAGCAAAAAAGAATTTAAATGCTTTTGTTTAAATACTGTGGCAGCATTAAATAAATTTGTTTTGAATTTCTAATGTAAAATGCCTAATAGAAGTCCCTTTGCAGACCACTTCCAGGAAAAGATCAATTAGAAATAGTTATTTTGAGTTCTGTTGCACTGTTAAGTTATAGTTTTCTCATTTTGCAAGAATGCAGAAGATATCATTAACTTTTATGGGAGTCAAAGGAACATTGTGGTGAAATCATTGCTGTTTCTCTCTTTACTTAATTAAGATCCTTCAGTCTCCAAAGACTGCAGTGATATGTCAAAATCCTTGTCCTTGCAAGGAAAAGGGTTCTTTTCCTGCTGGGACTCCCTCAAATCTTCTTTAATTTCACTCTAAACTACTTGCTTTCCCTGATCTCTCTCTCTCCTTGGCTTTCCATTTCAAACTCAGCTGTGAAGGCCTCCTTCCCAGCTAGCTTGTGACTCCTCCAGGGTTGTTTTTCTCTAAGTGTGATCCTCTATAGTCAGCACCTTCATCACCTGGGAACTTGTTAGAACTAGAAATTCTCTGGTCACATCTGAAACCTACTGAATTAGAAAGTCTGGTGTGGGCCCTATTAATGTATGTTCAACAAGCTTTTTGGGTGATTCTGACCCTCAGCTCTATGATAAAGATAAAAAAAATCCACCTCACTAGCCTTAGACTCTCACATGCATCATAGTGATCAAGAAGGCTTTCATCAGAAATCAATCCTCCAGAACAAACAAAACCAAAAACATTTGCCTAAAATTGGTTAACTAAAATATATTAGTTTGAAGTCATTTTTTTCCAAAGCTTACTGACTTAATGATCACTGATGTGATTGACCAATTTACCTAAAATTCAGTTTCTTTTCAGTATTTTATATATCCATATCAGTTTCCATGCCTACACATTCTTCAAGCCACTAATGGAATCCCAATTCTCATTAGAAACCTGGAATTCTCTCTACTTGAGTTAAGTCCTTACTTCCTATGTCAATGATGAATTAGCTACAGATTTTTCTCATAACATTGAGTTTCTTGTGAACAAACTCTTATTTTTCTTGCTGTGTCTTATACTGCCTCTAAATAGTAGATATTTGACAAATGTTTGTTCACTTCCATGGCAACATAGTAAAATAGCTGAAACTATAACCTACAGCCAAACCTTGCATTTAAGTGGCACCTGCTTTACTTACTAGCTGTGTGGCTTTGAGCAACTTTTTAAGCCCTCTTTCTCTTTATCTGTAAGATAGGCATAGTATTATAGTACTCACCTCATAGTGTTATATAGCATTAAATCCATATACATGTGAAGTACCCAGAATCCTTCCAGGCAGATAGTAAGTACTATACATATAACAGTTATTATTTTCTTTATTTTACAAATTGCACTTTTTTGTCAACTATATGTTTATGTAGCTTCATTTCCTTTTCAATGTTCTTTTTTACTTTACCTTCTGTCTCACTGGGATTTAATTGAATAATTTTATCATAAAATAAAATATCATTTTTAAAAAGTTAAAATCCCTTAAAATAGTTTTTATTCTTTGGCCTAGGAATGTTCCTTCCAGGATTCTAACTTCTTTCTTTTTTTTTAGCGGTTCTGGGATTTGAACTCAAGGTTTTACACTTATTAGGCAGGTGCTCTATCACTTGAGCCATGCCTGCAGATAACTTATTTTTTAATGATCAAAAACTTATCAAATATTTAAGTACAAATATATTCATTTTACCATTATTAGAAGCAATGATGTTTGTTTGTTTTAACATATTCTGGGCACAGTCTTTTATTAGCTAGATGGCTCGCAAGTATTTTCTCCTAAGAGGTAACTTGTATTCTCTTTCTCTTAACAGAGAATGTTTGCTCTATCCTTTTTCCTTCCTTTCTCTCTTTTCTTCTTCCCTCTGTTTTTTCTGCTCTCCCCCCCCCTTTTTCTTGCGGTACTGGGACTTGAACTCAGGGTCTACACCTCAAGCCACTTCACCAGCCCTTTTTCGGGATAAGATTTTTCAAGATAGGATCTTGCGAACTATTTGCCATGCTGGCTTTGAACCATGATCCTCCTGATCTCTGCCCCCATGAGTAGCTAGGATTACAGACATGAACCACTGGCACCCGGCTTGTTCTTTCTTTTGGTTCAGGGTCTCACTATGTTGCCCAGACTGGCCTTGCACTCTTGGGCTCAAGTAATCCTCCTGCCTCAGCCTCTAGAGTACTGAGACCACAGTACAAGATTGGGACTATCATGCAAATTAATAATTCATTCAATTAAAAAGCACTAATTGAGTGAACTCAGACTAATTTACTGAAAGCTACTTTGCCTAAAGCAATTTGACTAACAGATTCTCATGTATCCAAAGTACATAAAATAGAAGACACCATCAGGATACCAAACATAACACCACCACCCCCAGTTACAAAATGAAGCAAATTGTATAAATAATTATTAATCATAAAAGTTTAAGATTGAAAACCCCAGAGATAAATTGCTTAAAATATGAAAGACAGGTGAACCTTGTCTGAGAATTTAGTCAGACCCTTACAAGTAATAATTTCAAAGCTTTAATTGGTGTTTGTGGCTAATGGAACAAACATTACAAGGTTTCTTCTTTAGCAATAGGCCTACATTTTATTATGACAGATTCCATTGAATTTTAAAAGGAGTTGGGCAAGAGGTTTCAAACTCAAGAGTCTACAGGGTTTTTGCAAATACTGTGAATGAGTGAAATATATACAGAGGATACACAGTGCAGTGTAATATGGTCTGTGGTATATGAGGAGTTGGTGTGTCATCTGAAGAGTGCAATGTCCACACACCTCCAATGGGTCATGACCATGAACAGATGTGAGCCCAGTATGGCTTAGTCTTCTGATTATTTTCAAAACAACACAGGTATCTAGATCTCTAAGTTAATTACCTGTCAGATTTATTAAAAATATTTGTGGGAAAATACTGTATTGACAAAATATGTTTTCTCTGATAATTCATATTTCTTTTCAGGAGATGTGTGTGTGTGTGTATGTGTTCTAATGGTTATCTGCTAGACAACTGAAATAACAAGGATGCATTTTTGCAACTCTTGCTACAGGGAAAAATTAAGAGGAATGAACTGTGTGCTTATAGCCTCTGGGATTATTTTATGGGTCTTGTGATACTGTGTCTGCTGCCACTCAAAAGCCAACACTCAGGAGATGAGAGTTTCCAGAGATGATTAATTAGATCATGAAGGCTTGCACCTATTGAATGGTTTTATCCACTGACAGATTCAAAATTTGAATAGATTATTGGTAGATGGTAGAACTGTGGAAGATGGAACCCAGTTGGAGGAAGTAGGTCATTTGGAGTGTCTCTTCATAGGGCACTGCTTGCCCTGGTTCCTTCCTGTCTTTGCTCTGCTTTCTGGCCACCATGTGTTGAACCATTCTGCTCCACCATGCCCTCCCCACCATGAGGGACTGAAACCAAGAGCAAAATAAACCCTTCCTCCCTTAAGTTGTTTTCCTCAGGTATTTGATGACAGCAACATAAAGCTAACTAATATACTCACACAAGGTATATGTATTTTTCTTTAGAATTTAGAATGCTGGGTTAAAGGAAGGGAAGTAAAAGTAATTTTGCCAATGACATCTCACAAAGGGGCAATCATTGCTGCTGCTATACTTGGAGAGTGATAATGGAGATAAAAAACTGTCTTGTTAGGAGTTCCCAGAACATTATTCTTGACTGAACAATTTCAATACTGAATATGGATTGTGTTGGAAGGATGTAAATCAAGGAACAAGACCATTATTTCTATCTATGGAAAAAGTTTCAGCAAAGACTGGTATAGCATTGCACATTGCAAGATGAATGTGATATTCATACTTTAAGTCATAGAAACCTCATAAAAACCTCAGCACAGATTTAAGAACTAAAGTCAATTTTAAAAGGAATTACTAAAAATTATTTGATTTCTTGCCTGCTTTTCCTTTGGACTATGGAAATTCTCATAATTAGCATAGTGTTAAATTATTTGGCAACATAAATAATTCTCTTTGTTTATTCCATCCTTTTGGTTAGTTTGATTAGGTAATATATTGATTAGGTGTCTTTATTACCCAGAGAACCAGAAGAAAATAGATGGCAAATTCAAAGAATTTAACTCAGGAGAAATTAAAAGGGGATAATGTTTACAGAAATGTGGGCAGGATTAAGAAATAAATGTAGACTAGTAAATTTGGGAGCTACAAATTCAGGACAAGAACAAAGGAGAACATCATGGTATTGTAACTAAGTGAGTGTTAAAGTCATGGAAGAGGGGTTTCCTAACAGAAACAGTGGGCATTGAGGAATGCAGCCACATCCAGAACTGCAGCCAGGTAGAGGGAGCTGAACAACAACTTAACTTCTCTTTCTTCCTGCACTGTATCTCTTGTTGGTACTTCAAATGGCCAAACACAGTGAGAAGCCAGAGGGCAAGGGAGCCTAGATAGTATAGCTTAAAAGAGTCAGTCTCCATGTGTACTAAGCAGGATGGAGAGGGTTAAAAATTAGATGTGATTGGAATACAATCAGTACAGTGTGGTCTTCTTTGTGTGTGTGTGTGTGTGTGTGTGTGTGTGTGTGTGTGCTGGGGATTAAACACAGGCCCTTGCACAAGTTAAGCATGTGCTCTACCCCTGAGCTACATCTCAGCCCTACAGTGTCTTTCAAAATTGGAAATTATCAATAACTTTATAGAATATAGAAAGGAAGAAAAATCTGTCAGGAAAAATGTGTAAAGACAATGAAGTCACTGAATTTATGGCACAATCATGACGACAGGATAGTCTTATAAAAATTATTACCTCATATATTACTTTTCTATCATTGTAACAGATACCTGAGAAACAACTTAAAGGAGGAAGAATTTATTTTAGCTCACAGTTTCAGAGGTTCAGTCCATCATGGTGGGGAGGGTTGTGGCAGAGCAGTTCCCATCATGGTAGTCAGGAATCTGACAAAGGTGAATACAGGAAAGTGTTAGGGCAAGATATAGCCCCCAGTAACCTACTTCCTCTAATAGGCCCCGCCTCCCACTTTTCACCATTTCCCAATGATGTGTCATTTTATGAACCCTCAAGGCATGAATCCATTCATTAGGTCACAGTCCTCATGATTTAATCATCTCTGGAAACACCCTCACAGTCATACCTTGAACTGATTTACTTGTCTGCTAAGCATTTCTTAATCCAATCAAGTCGACAATCAAATTAACCATCACACCTTCTAATCTACTAAATTATTTGAAAGAGGAAGCATAAATGACAAGGGAGGTTTATTCAGTGAATATAATTCAAATTCTATTTGAATTTTACAATGAATCCTGACAATGTCTTCTTATAGCCTATGAAAGATACTTAATTCTCATGCAATAAAGGATGAAGTAATATCATGGGTAACTTTATTATATTAGCAAAGTAAGACAATGATTTCATACTAATTCAATTAATAATAACTTAAGATATGGGGTATAGTGTGTCATATTTTAATTAATAACCAGGAATTAAATATTTTATATAAAAAAGTACAAGGCAAAAAAACCCTGCTAGTCCTAATCAAACAAAATTTAGGTAAATTAACACTGAATAAAACCTATCAAATTTCATACTTATTATAATAATCACCCATACTTACTTGTATTGCTGTACTATTTTTTTCATGCAGCAAATGTTCCCCAAACCAAGTGTTTCTCTGTCTTTGGGACCCCACTAAAAATTATTGGCTCTATAACTCACCTTCAAAGGCTCTCTTGCTACCACATGGCATTAGCCCTTTTTGTCCTATTTTGCTGTTTTTTGCTACTAGCTGTAGGCAAGGTGCCAGCCATGGAAGCTGTCACTATCCCAAGTATATCGAACGTTGCAGCACCTTGAATTCAAGAATTTTTCTCATGTCTTTTTTTTTTTTTACCTTAGTTCTCATAAACAAGAAGTCTTGTGCTTACAAGCCCCTCAAAAATATCACTGAATTGACTGTTTTACATATTTTTTAATCGCCTCTCCTGCCCAGAGTCCTGAGCAAAACTTTCAGAATTCCTTCCCTTTCCTACTGGTCCTGTGCTCTTCAAATGCTCTCACTCTCCTCAGGGATGAATTGCTCCTGAGAGCCAGGCAAAGGCCCTTTGAGGATATCAGACACAAGACAAGATATCCTTCAAAGGGATGCCCACAGTAACCTACTTCCTCCCACTACCTCCTAGTAATGTCATTGATTTATGAATCCACCAATGGATCAATACATTACGTCAGAGCCCTAA